CATGAGGCATGGAGCCAGGGACCAGACCCCCGCCCACAACCACTTACACTGCCAACATCTTGGGGCCCGCCTGGGGACCTGAGGCATGGAGAAGGGGACTGGACCCCCCTCCCACAACCAGGCATTGTGCCAGCATCCCGGGGCCCACCCAGGGACCTGAGGCTTGCAGCCGGAGACCACACCCCTTTCCCACAACCAGGCACACTGCGCCAGCACCTCAGGGCCCACCAGGGGACCCAAGGTGTGGAGAAGGGGACTGGACCCCCCTCCCACAACCAGGTACACTGCCAGCACAAAGGAACATGCCAAAAACATTACCTCCAAGTGGGTGGCCCATCACAGCCACTGCAATAACTATGGCTACCGCGAAAGTGGCTAGACGCCACAACCACCACGCAGATGGTCCACCAACCACTGGAGTACATTGACACAAGGAGAGTCGCCAGCAGAGACCAAAGAAGTGGATGTCTCTCCCCACAAAGCCCATTTCAGAGTGACAGAAGAGGCGTCTGCTCTGTGGTAATATTGGGGGACCTGACCATACCTCTCAGGATTGGACAGGTCATCTAGGGAACAAATCAACAGAGTAACCATTATTCTTTCAGAAGGAGAGAAGAGACCTAGGGTAATTGGGGGGGAGGGATGAGGGAAAGGGGCATGGGAAGAGACTGGACAAGGGGCATAAAGAATAATTGTGATTTGTAATAATATGTATGCTAGCAATATCGATTTGATGAACATATCTCAATGTTGAACCCCAAAAATATGTATAATCAATTTCGATTTGATAAAAATTTTTTTAAAAAAAGAAAGAAAGAAAAGGAACAACTAGCTGCACGTGCCCTTGTGTCTTGGAAGACAGCAGTAGTACTCCAGAGGAGTGTGGAAACCGTGTGAAAAACCCAGAAAGAGGAGAAAAAGCCCCAGCAGGCTCCTCAGGAGAATGGCGTGAAAGACCCACCTATCTCTTTCTCCAAACTCTCGAAAAAGAAATCTTTTTCCAGGGAGGAGCTGGTTAGTAGTGATCTCAAAGAGACAGCTGGCAGCACAAGTGTTCCCAAGAGGAGGAAACCTGCACTCAAGGAGGAAACAGTTAGTGATCCCGAAGAGGTAAGCAACAGGAGTGTCCCCAAGAAAAAGAGGAAATTGTCTTGCAGGGAGGAGCCATTCAGCAGTGGACCTAATAGGTTGCTGGCAGCAAGAGCAGCTCCAAGAAAAAGTTCCAAAAACCATTCCAGGAAGATTAGAATGGACATTGTGTGGGGGAAGGGCATACCCCATGGTGACATTTCCCAACCCATATTCTATACCCCAGTAAAAATTCACTCACACGCAGGCAAAGATACCTTGACAAGAGGTTTTAATGGAGAAATAGAAATGAAAACCTGAATGGAAATGGGGAAGTAGAAGCAGTGGGCAACTCCTTTTAGGTGATCTGATATAAAGGGCAACAGAATTGGAGCAGAATATGGAAAGAGGGGCCGGCCCGGTGGTGCACTTGGTAGAGTGCGGTGCTTGGGAGTGTGGCGGCGCTCCCACCGAGGGTTCGGATCCCATATAGAGACCGGTCCACTCACTGGTTGAGCGGCGGTGTGGGAGCGACACCGAGGGTTGCGATCCCGTTGCCGGTCACGAAAAAAGACAAAAAGGAAAAAAAAAAAAAAAAGAATATGGAAAGAGATATGAAATTTAGGGAAGGAAATTGACAAATGACTAGAGGTGCTAATTGTAGGAGCCACGTCTTAAACAGGCAATAGATCTAGTGTAAAAGTGATGGGATCCACCTTAAATAGGAAAAGGTACATATAGTTAATCCACTGTGATGGAAAGGCAGGCAGAAAGAAATACGGATAGGTTCAAAGATTTGGTGTGTAAAGGAGATTTTTCTCAAAGTTTCTGTTTTCTCAGTGATATAAGAGGTAAGGTCAACAGCCAAGGGTAAGAAGGAAGAGAGGATTTTGGAGGTTTGAAGTGAGGAGAATGAAATAACAGTGGAAATACTGGGCAATTCTTTGTTGCCTTAAAGTCTGTGTTCATAAATTTGAGCTCACGTGTATTTTTCTCTGGCGAGGTTCAGCTGCTCATATTGCTAGCAAAGAATAGATGGAAAGTTGACTTTAACTAGAACTAGGATTTTGCCAGCTGAGCTTTTTAGAGGGCAAGGAAAATAGAGGAGGTGAAGGTATATTAGATAGTGATTATGTGGATGAACTGAAATCTAACCTGGGAAAAGAAGAAACGAAGGTGTGAAGGGGGTTGATCTACAGTGAAAAAGTGGTAGGGCCAATGGATTAGAGATTCCAATGGGGCGAAAGAATTCTATAAGCATCCTGGAGCAGCTGAGCTGAAAAGAGAAGCTGGTCCCCAAGAGTTTATAGATCCCAAGAATTAACCACTCTTTCTGTTGATTATTCTTCAATTTAGATAGTGCTCTTTCTCTTGTGGAAAATGGAGAGGTGGTTATCAACAGATTGCTCATAAATCTGTTTCTGTAGCTCTGACCTCTTTGCTAAACCTCAGTTCTACAATTTCAGTAACTTCAAGCATTGCCAGAATAATCTACCAGCATCTCATATTAATTATATGTAAATTCCTTTCAACAATTCCTCTTTTAAATTCACTTGTTCTGGACTACCATTGACTCTTTTTCACTCTCCTCTGACTCTTTCCTCTTCTTGCTTTCAATTTTAACCATTATTAAATAAGTTAACTTAGAAAATATTTATTTGATCCTTTCTGCATTTCCACTGCAAAGACTAGTTTATTAACTGTTAATAGTTGCCAAAATGGTATCCTCTTTATAATCCTTTTTCTAACCTCCCAATATGAGATTAGTTTTCAAAATTATATTCGTAATAGCCAACTGAGCTTTTTAGAGGGAGGGGCGAGTAGAGGAGGTGAGCTTTGCAGCCTTTTGCAAAAACTTTTAGGAGTTTCCCATTTCCCTTAGAAGAATTCCAAGCTCTAACGTAGGCTCTAGCCTTCTTTCCCATTCCCATTTCCTTCATTACCTCTTCGTGGAGGCTTCCCAGGGCTCTGAACTTGTTGGCCGATCCAGTGCTCTCCCAACTCATATCTTGTCTCCTGCAGGGGTATCTTCCCCTCAATGTTAAAATCCTTTGGGTACAAATTTAAATACTACCTGCTCTATAAACATGTTTCTTGATCCCTGCTGTTGAAAATGATCTCTCCTGCCTCCATACTTGCAAAATAACTCTCTGTATACCTGTTAGTCGTAAGAATACCTTTCAATGTTATATAGATGTACAGTTTTCAAACTGCTTTTACACATATTTACTTTATTTCTTAACAACAATGAGGTGAGGTTTTCTTTAGCACCATTTCAAAGATGTGGAAACTGGGAATGAGAGAGTTATTTAAGTTGCATATACTTGTTACTATCAGCCTTACTTCTGCATATTTTTTTCTTATTTGTTTCCAGACTGTTCAATGCACTGAGGCCAGGCTTTGCATTAATAGGCAGTCTTATTTGTTTAATGAATGCATGAAAGACTGAAATCATGAAATCAAAAATGTTTTTCATAATTATTTGAGGAGATGTGTTTTTAAGTAACTTGGGTGCACGTTAATAGCCTGTTTTTATGTTGTGGCCTTTGTTAAGCCTGGCACTAAGAAAAAGAAAACCACCAAAGCTGAACGATTGAAGCTGCTACAAGAGGAAGAGGAGAAACGACTGAAAGAGGAAGGTACAAAATAAAGAGTGATATTATTTTCATATACAGGTAATACTAACAATAGGTTGGTATTTCTGTAATCCAGTCAATATTTTTTTTCAAAATTCTTTGATTTTTCTAATTTAATCTGTTTTATAATAGATACCTACTACTTAGAGGATACCCAGAAAGATCTGTTAGTACACCAATCACTTTCAGATATATCTTGAAGCAGAGTTGCGAAATAAAATACAGGAACACAGTTAAATATGAATTTCAGATAAACAATGACCATTTTGGGATAATTTGTCCCATACAATATTTGGGACATACTTAAGAAAAAGTTCACTGTCTACGTGAAATTCAAATTAAGCTGAGCATCCTGTATTTGCTAATTCTGGCAACCCTATCCTGAAGTGTTTACATTTATTGATGAAATTAGAGGTGTTGGTGTTGATTGTGCAGTAAGAATTCTGAAACTCAAATTCATTAAATATGGGAAATATACACTAGCAAGAAATACACACAGCAGCCTAAGTTCTTAGAGTTTAATAAAACTTATTTGACAAATTTAAAATGCCAATTTTATTTGTAAAGAAAAATCAATTAAACATTGATGAAAGTGCTAGTTAATTAAAATACCAAAAAGTGATTTAAAAAATCTGAATATTGCAAGTGTTTGTAGCTTTTAGCATTAAGAACACCTATAGATTCCGATTCAGGTTTTTAAAAGACCGTCCTCAGGTTCCATGTTGATTTTTTTTGTATAATCTTATAAATCTTTTTTAGGTGACTCATGATAAGAATACAATATTCAGGATCTATATCTTGGAGAATGTTTTATTATATATATATTCTTCAACAAATATTTCATATTTTGTTTTTAATAGTGAGAACAAGAGAAGATTAATGTAATTACTTCTGATGACATAGATATCCCAAGATTACGGAAGTCTTCTGAAGACTTTACCTCCCTTTAATTACCCATTATAAATCTGTCATATTTTATTGGTTAAAATCCCTACAAACATTTTGGAGAAGAGAAATATCATTGTGGGGCTGTTTTTTTTTTTTTTTTTTTGGCCAGAAAGTTTGAGAGTCATGTAACTTTTTTGAAGGAAGGAATGCTAACACTTTTCTCATTTCTACCACATAATAAAGGTTGTAACTTCTATATTATATTCTACCACGACTACCTTTGAAAATATTTGGAGTAATTTAACGGGCTTAAAAATACAGTCATCTAATTACTGGGATTTTTGTTGTTGTTGTTGTTGTTGTTTTGTTTCTTTAGAGGAAGCCCGTTTGAAATATGAGAAAGAAGAAATGGAAAGGCTTGAAATACAGCGAATTGAGAAAGAAAAATGGCTTCAACTTGAAGAAAAAGTAAATAAACATTAATAATGTTTTAACAAAGACGTAAACTATATGGCTACCAGATCTGTTGCTATTCAATGTCTTTCTCAGCGGATAAGCCTGCATGAACTGGTTTAGCTCACTTAAGTGACATTATTGCCCACATCTCACAGATAGAGAAATTGAGGCGTAGAGAAATCAAGCAGCTAATAAGTGGCAGAGCCAGAACTTAGACCTGAGCTGTCTTGCTTCAGAGTCCATGCTTGTCACCATGGAGCAGGCATGAATCCGTTGTATAGACAATTTAACAGGGACCAAAAAAACAATTCAAAATATTCAAATTCTACCTCTCCTATTTTAGTTTCACCTCTCTTTTCACCAGAATCTTTTAGATCAGTAATTCTGAAATGTGTTGGTCTCAGGACAAAACTCTATTAAACTATTAAAAATGGAAAACCCTTCCCTGCCAAGGAACTTTCGTTTATGTAGATTACATCTATCAATATTTACCGTGTTAGAAATTAAAACAGATACATTCGAAACACTTGTTATGTTAATAGACATTAAACATTGATAAAAAATATAAGTAAATATGTAAATCTATTTTTAAGAAAACAACTAAGAGTATTTATTTATTTTTTTAATTAGGGAAATAAATAGCATTGTTTATATTTTAAAAATCTCTTTAATATCTGACTTAACAGAAGACAGCTAGACTCTCATATCTACTTCAGTATTCCATCTGTTATAACATGTTATTTTGATTGAAATATATGAGGAAAATCTGGCCTCACACAGATATGTAGTTGGAAAAAGGAGGAATATTTTAATAGCCTTTCAGATAGTTGTGGATCTTCTTCTTTGATACTATACCAAAAGTCAGCTGGTGGTAGTTTCTTAAGGTGGAATCTGAAACCATATCAATGAACTTTCATACTGTGTTACAACATTGATCTGTCTTACACTCTGAATAGATCTTGTTTCCATGCATGATTTTGCAGTATCATGTATTGCTTTCTTGGAAACATTTGACTCACGGAATTTTTTGCTTCCAAATGTTAATGTAATTTATTATTATCAAAAAAACCATATATATTAATATAATCTTCAATCAAGTCAGAAATTTTTAAGGATTGGGAAACTGTGAAGCTCACAGTGGTAGATACAAGTTTTCTAAAATGTGAATTTTTGCTTGAACACTTGAATTATAATATTGGCAACAAGTATTTTGAATTGTATCCTTGAAGTGACACTCTCAATTCATTAATTTTTAAGAGAATGCCAAAATAGTCAAATAGTTGCACAAATAATAATTTCTCAAGACTGTATTGTCCTTTGATATGCAGAAGTGCTTTATGCATTCTTCCCATTTTATTACACAGGATATTAAAAAGACATGTACTTGGGGTTGAGATTTAATAAAATTAATAATTTTGCCTCTTTATCCTGTCATTCTATGTGAAGCTGGCTTTTTCCCCTCACCGCATCCTCCTCCTCCCAGAACTACTAGTTTAGAGCCCCTGCCTTGATTTGTGCTAAGGCACCAGGAGTTTTACAGCATCTTGCACCATCAGTGCAAATACGTACACTGTGAAAAAGGCAAATAATGTCTTAATATTACTATGAAAATATATTTGACCTCACAGATCCCAAAAGAATTTTGGGGACCCACCAAGAGTCTACAGATCACACTTTATGAACCACTGTTTAGATGAAATCTTTTGGAAGTATCGGTTATATTCAAACTAATCCTAATATTCATTTTGAAATTATATATTTAGCCAAGTAAATTTCAGATGCTACTTGTGAATCATAAAGCTAAAATTAAAGAGCAGATCAATGTATCTCTGTCCCCACACAACAGGATCTAGGAAGGAGAAATGAAGAACTTGACGAACTTAATTTACTAGAGGGATGTTTCCCTGAAGCAGAGAGATTGAAACACGACACAAGATTGCTTTCTCAGGTAAATTTCTTTCTTTTTTTGAGCTATTACTTTTGTGACCACAAGAGGGAGTCTGATATCCATTTTGATTCCAAGAAACTTTAAATTTCTCTACTAAAAAAATTTCTCATTTGACAAATCTATTGCTTTTGTCAAAGCAAATTGATATAATCTCATAGAAAGCTGTTTTTCAGTAATAGTGTCCTTGAAATGTTTATATCCTTTGACTCTGATTTAATTGTTGGTAATCTATACTGAGAAAATTATCCTAAATCAAAATGCAAAAGTTTTGTGCTTAAGGCGCATCTAATCTTGCTCAAAACAGCATAACTTTGGAAACTATATAGGTGAATATCAGGAGAAAAATTAAAAACTTATAAGTTTTATGGTATAATTTTAAGTGAAAAATTATAATAATAGTATTATTACAAATGTAAAATTTGCAGACTACAAAAAGAAAGGAAGAACTCACACTAAAATGCCAATGGTAACTAGAATTACTAATAACTTGAGAGGTGGAAATTAGCCAAATGTTGGCTTTTGCAAATAAGAAGCTCTATGATTAGAGAAGAAAAGTAAGCAAAATGAAACCAACTCATAATGTTTTAAAAATAAAAATATGGAAATAAATAGATTTCTATTTTATCCGAATATCGAGGATTAGAAATTATTTGGATTGCTGGCTGTAGCTCAGTTGGTTAGAGTGTGGTGCTATAACACCAAGGTCACGGGTTCGGATCTCCATGCCAGCCAGTCACCAAAAAAAAAAAAAAAAAAAAAAAAAAAAAAAAAAAAAAAAAAAAAAAAAAAAAAAAAAAAAAAAAAAAAAAAAAAAAAAAAAAAAAAAAAAAAAAAAAAAAAAAAAAAAAAAAAAGAAGAAGAAAGAAAGAAAAAGAAATTATTTGGATGAAGAAGAAATTATACCATAAAACTTATGTTTTTAATTTTTCTCCTGATATTCACCTATATAGTTTCCAACGTTATGCTGTTTTGAGCAAGATTAGATGTGCCTTAAGCACAAAGCTTTTGCATTTTGATTTAGGATATTTTAGTGATATCTCAAGTTACTGGTCAAAGCCATCAAAAGTTTTTGTTTAAATTGGGGAAACCAGGCTGGCCAGTTAGCTCAGTTGGTTAGAGCATGTCATTATAACACCATGTCATTATAACATACCAGCCAGCTGCAAAAAAAAACAAAAAAAAAAAGGAAAACAGGGTTATAAGAACTCATATTTTGAAAAAGAAGTAATTTAATCTTTAGTTGAATCTTCATCAGTTTGAACCTTCATTTTTATTCCACAGTGGAAACACTATATTCAATGTGATGGGAGTCCTGATCCTTCAATATCCCAAGAAATAAATACTTTCATTAGCTTGTGGAGAGAGGAAACAAATGAGACTTTTGAGGAAGTGATCGCAAAAAGTAAACTAGTGCTAAATGTAAGTGTTTAAGTACTATCCTGTAATATAAATTGCTTAAATTACAAATAGTCTGATATTAACTCCCCAAATAAAAATAAATATATACATTATTATCCAATTAATAACATTCCTTTTTTTGAACCCTTGGTTATAGAAAGAGAGGTATTTAGTAATCTTTTCATTTTCTTTTTTCTTTTTACAACTCCTAAAAATCTCTTGCCACCTTAGGTAAAGTCAACTATAACATAAATGTAAAACATTAATTATTTGTCTGTCAAAAAATAAAAAAATAAAACCAGGCTGCATGTATTCATAGATAATTCGGGGAGCCGGGAAGTGGGTGATTTTATCCTCACCTGTAACTATCCACTATTCAGTAATTTAGTGCCCATAAGTTTTAATATTTACTAGGTATGAGGCATCCACTCTTTTAGGCACTGGGGTACAAAGATGAATAAGAATATTCCAAATTCTATTTCTGCAAATAAGATGGATAGGCTAGCCTGAGAAATTTCCATTTTACAATGTACTTAAAAATACTGGGAAAGAAAATTTTAATGACTTTTAAGTCTATTGTATAGCCCATAAAAAGGTAACAGAAAATTTAGAGGCCATAAAACAATTCAGAAAGTGAGAAAGTCCCCAAACCAGTGGCTTCCCAGAGATTATCTGCTAACTCCTAGTGGCTTAGCATTGATTTAAAGGACCATAAGGAGGCAAAGCCCAGGGTACATGCAAGGTGACAAGTAGGATCAGTATGGCTGGGAGCTTCAAAATGTATTATGGATAATAGGGAAAAAAATCCACTCTGCAAAAGGAAATGACACACAAAAAAAGTGTTTAGCTCATCTTAACCTTAGTGAAGGACAAACAGAAATGTCTCCACTGAGAATTCTTAATCACAAGTAAATCAGAGGTTGGATTGAAAGAATTTACCAGAATATTATACAGAGAATCAAAGAGATGGAAAACATGAAAGAGCAGTTAACAGACATGTATGATAGAGTACAAAAGGCTAAAAATATATGGAAAAGGGGATATATAGAAGAATGAGGGACAGACAATATTCAAAGAAATAATGGCTGGCAATTTTTAGAATTGATGAAAGATGTGAATCCTCAGATTCAAGAAGCTCAACAAATTCCAAGTAAAAGGAAAAACTATTTTTTCATAGTACAACACTTCTAACACCAAATGTGTGTGTGTGTTGGGGTTGGGGGTGTGGGGTTCCACACCATCCAGTTTTCCAACTCTCCAGACACCAACTTGAATTGCAATTCAAGTCCGACACTACCTGGAGTTAGCACAGACCCCACAGGTTAAGGGCTCATGTCCACAAGACTACCACCCCACCTCAGCCCACCCCTGCTCCTAATTACAATTCCCAGGTTATCCCCTGTAATTCTGACCAGCCAGCTATAAATCAGGAGTTCCTACAACACCCTCCTCAGGTTAGGTAATTTGCTATAATGGCTCATAAAACTCAGGGAAACATTTACTTATTTCTACCAGTTTATTATAAAGGATGTTACAAAGGATACAAATGAACAGCTAGATGAAGAAATCCATAGGGCAATGTATGTGGGAAGGGCATGGAGCTTCCATGTCCTCTCCAGGTGTGTCACCCTCTCAGTACATGGGTGTATCCACCAACTGGGAAGCTCTCTGAATCCCATTGTTTAGGGTTTTTCTGGAGGACTTGTTACATGGGCATGATTAATCAAGTCATTGGCCATTGGTGATTAAGTAAATCTCATATTCCTCTATCCTCCTTGGAGGCTGAGGGATGCGGCTGAAGGTTCCAACCCTCTAATCACATGGTTGGTCCCTTTGACAAACAGCTCTCATCCTCCAAGAGTTACCACATTAGCATAAACTCAGATATGGCTTAACAGAGCTTATTATGAATAACAAAAGCTGTTCATTTTACCCGTATCACTCAGGAAATTTACAAACAGCTCTCATCCTCCAAGAGTTACCACATTAGCATAAACTCAGATATGGCTTAACAGGGCTTATTATGAATAACAAAAGCTGTTCATTTTACCCGTATCACTCAGGAAATTTCAAGGGTTTTAGAAGCTCCATGCCAGGAACTGGGGGCAGAGACCAAATAAGTATTTATTATGTCACACCAAGTTAGGATAAATAGAAAAAATCCACACCTAAACACACATACTTAATATTAGAAATTAGATGGAATTCACTTCTCTTGTTCCTATTATTATCCTCTAATGCTTTTTGCTCCAGTTGTGCACAACATTTTTGTGCTTCTTGTCACTGCTGCTGTGGTTTACTTCTTCTCCGTGTTGCTGTAGGATGAACGACTCTAGACTCTGTTAAGTTCATAACACTGATTGCCTGATTTAATCTGGACAGCAAAGTTATGAGATTCATTTTACACATGAAGAATCATAGATTGTGACTTGCTTATGGTCCCTATGAGACCTTAGATGGACCTTGCTCTGATTTTCCAAAGGCCCCGAGGAAGCTGCCATACACTCTGAGCTATCTGGATGCCCGTGGAGTCATCATACAGCGTTCTTGCCACTGTACGTCCTCTCTGTCAGGCTCCCATAGCACGGTGCCAGTTCAGGAATCTGGTACTCTGCAGTTAGCAGGGAGCCAGTGGGAAGTAGCACAAGAGTTCACCGGTGATGAGCTGGAAGGGACATCTTCCTGTTACAAGAATGTGAGTACAGAAGTATAAGTAATAAATACTAGGGAAGATGGGAAATGATAAGCAAGACGGAAAAGGAGATGAGGAAAGTAATCACAGCAATAGGAAACTAAAGCAGGAAACCATCAGAAGAGTAGAAAGGGTTGGATATCTGTAACAGAAGGAAATGACTCCATAGTAAACACCAGTTTCCAAAATTTCAGATTTTTTAAACAAATTCTTATGTAGCACATAATCTATACCAAGCTTTGGAAATATTAATTTACAAATGAAGAAGCTGAGGCACAGAGATGTTAAACAATTTGCCCAAGATCACACTGCCAGTAAGAGGTGGCTAGGATTGAAGCCCAGTATTCTTGCTCGAGTCCACACTACTCTACGCTCCTCTCCTGCCTCTCTTCATTAAAATTTTCCTATGGACAGGCATACCTCATTTTATCGAGCTTCACTTTCTTGTGCTTCACAGGTACTGTGTTTTTTACAAATTGAAGGTTTGTGACATTCCTGTGTTGCGCACGTCTGTCAGTGCCATTTTTCCAACAGCGTGTGCTGACTTTGTGTCTCTGTGTCACATTTTGGTAATTCTTGCGATATTTCAGGCCTTTTCATTATGATTACATCTGTTATGGTGATCTGTGATCTTTGATGTTACTATTGTAATCGTTTTGGGGTGCCACTAAGTGCACCCACATAAGAAAGTGAACTTAATCAGTAAATGTTGTGTATGTTCTGACTGCTCCACTGACAGGCCATTCCCTACCTCTCCCTGTCTCCCCGGGCCTCCCTATTCCCTGAGACACAATAGTGAAAGTGCACCCACATAAGAAAGTGAACTTAATCAGTAAATGTTGTGTATGTTCTGACTGCTCCACCGACAGGCCATTCCCTACCTCTCCCTGTCTCCCCGGGCCTCCCTATTCCCTGAGACACAATACTGAAGTTAGGCCAATTAACCTTTCAATGGCCTCTAAGTGTTCAAGTGACAGAAAAGGTGCACGTCTCTCACTTTAAATGAAAAGCTAGAAATGATTAACCTTAGTGAGGAAAGCATGTCGAGAGCCAAGATCAGCAAAAAACAACTAGGTCTCTTGTGCCAGTTAGCCAAATTGTGAATGCAAAGGAAAAGTTCTTGAAGGAAATTAAAAATCCACTAAACACATGAACAATAAGAAAGTGAAACAGCCCTATTGCTGATATGGAGAAAGTTTTAGTGGCCTGGATAGAAGATCAAACCTGCCACAATATTCCTTTAAGCCAAAGCCTAATACAGAGCAAGATCCTAACTCTCTTTAATTCTATTAAGGCTGAGAGAGGAAAGGAAGCTGCAGAGGAAAAGTTTCAAGCTATCAGAGGTTGGTTCACTAGGCTTAAGAAAAGAAGCCATCTCTATAGCATAAAAGTCAAGGTGAAGCAGCAAGTGCTGATGTCGAAGCTGCAGCAAGTTATCCAGAAGATCTAGCTAAGATCATTGATGAAGGTGGCCACACTAAACAACAGATTTTCAATGCAGACAAAACAGCCTTCTGTTGGAAGAAGATGCCATCTAGGATTTCATAGATAGAGAAAAGTCAATGCCTGGCTTCAAAGGTTCAAAGTTCAGGCTGACTCTCATTAGGAGCTAATGCAGCTGGTGACTTTAAGTTGAAGCCAATGCTCATTTACTATTCCAAAAATCCTCAGACCCTTAAGAATTACTCTAAGTCTACTGTGCCTGTGCTCTATCAGTGGAACAACAAAGCCTGGATGACAGCACATCTGTTTACAGCATAGTTTACTGAATATTTTAAGCCCACTTTTGAGAACTACTGCTCAGAAAAAAAAGATTCCTTTCAAACTATTACTGCTCACATCTGGTCACCCAAGAGCTCTGATGGAGATGTCCAAGGAGATTAATTTATGTCTGCTAACACTGCATTCATTCTGCAGCCCACAGATCAAGGAGTCGATTTGACTTTCAAGTCTTATTATTTAAGAAATGCCTTTTGTAAGGCTGCCATAGGTAATGATTTCTCTGATGGATCTGGGAAAAGTAAATTGAAAACCTTCTGGAAAGGATTCGCCATTCTAGGTGCCATTAAGAACATTCCTGATTCATGGGAGGAGGTCAAATATTAACATTAACAGGAGTGGGGAAGAAGTTGATTCCAACTCTCCTGGGTGACTTTGAAGGGGTCAAGCCTTCAGTGGAGGAAGTAACTGTAGATGTGGTGGAAATAGCAAGAGTACTAGAATTAAAAAGGGGGTCTGAAAAGCTGACTGAACTGTTGCAATCTCATGATAACTCCTCATGGATGGGGACTTGCTTCTATGGATGACCAAAGAAAGTGATTTACTGAGATGGAATCTAGTCCTGGTGAAGATGCCGTGAACATTATTGAAATGACAATGACGCATTTAGAATATGACATAAACTTAGTGACAAAGCAGCAGCAGCAGGGTTTGACAGGATTGACTCCAATTTTGAAGGACATTCTACTGTGGGTAAAATGCTATTAAAGAGCATCACATGCTACAGAAAATTCTTTCATGGAAGGAAGAGGCAATCGATGTGGTGAACTTTATAACAGTTGCCTTCTTTTAAGAAATTGCTGCACACCCCATTATGACTTGCTGAAAGTTCAGATGATCGTTAGCATTTTTTAGCAATAAAGTATTCTTTACTTAAAGGATGTACATTTTTTAGACATAATGCTGTCACACTTAAAGGGCTTACAGTATAGTGTAAACGTAACCTGTATATGCACTAAGAAACAAAAACAATTGTGTGACTCGCTTTATTACGAATCACTTTACTGAGGTGGCCTGAACCGAACCCGCAGTATCTCTGAGGCCTGCCTGTATTATCTGTGTCAGTGTTCAAGATTAAACTCTGCCACGTACTAGCTGTTCTGTGATCATTCTGAGCCTCAGTTTGCTCATCTATAAAACAGGACAGTAACAGTATCTGCCTCATAGACTTATGATGAGGAATAAATGAATGAAAACATATAAAACATTTAGAACAATCCCTGGTACTTAGGAAGCTTTCAGTACACAGTCACAGTCCTCCTCTTCCTCCTCCTCCTCTTCCTCCCCACTCTTGTTATCATATTTCTTGTTCCACAGTCTTAGGTAGTGACAGGTTGTGACTTATTTATCAACGTGCTAGTGAAAGCTCTGTGACGTATAGTTAAGAATACTTACAAGGGAGTTTTGGGAGGAAATATCCTATTTCTGTATGATCTTAAATTACAGAATAAATACAGGAAAGGGCTTCTATGTTTTACTGAGGATAAGATGTGTTCCTGCACTCAAAAGTGATAGAGCATCCACTTGTTCACTTTTCTTTTGACTGTTTGTCAGAGGATTAATATAAATATTCTTTTAACTTTATAGTTAATTGAGAAATTGAAATTAATTTTATTGGAAACACCACCATATGATTTGCAAGATAAAAATATAATACAGTACCGGGGATCAATCCTGCAGCTACAGGAACTCCTTCAGCTTAAGTTCAATGTAGCCACAGAAATACTTCTGAGAGTAAGTGTAGTATTTTGCTCATGTGTTATTATTAACTTTTGTGAGTTAAAATTTTAAACTGTATCATAAAATAATCCAGTATTATTTTTCTTTTTTTAATTAAAATATTATAGAAAAGTCAGTAGAATAATTTATATTTTATTTTAAAGATGCCATTTATTATTTTATTTTTAATTTTTAAAATAAATTCATTGAAACATAATTGATTGTACATATCTGTGGGGTACAATGTTGAATATCAATCACTGTGTGCACTATGCAATCCTCAAATCGGGATAATTAGTATATTTAACATTATGTAATGTAATTATTTTTTGTGGTCCTTTGCCAATTTCTCACTAACCCCCCTATACCACCCTCTTTCTCACTTCTGGTGGCCTCAGTTCTGCTCCCTCCTTTTGAAAGTTTAACAGATTATTGTGATTGTTGTGTCTTTCCCTGTTTCTTTCATTTATTTATTTGTTTATTTTTTTAACTCTTGCTTATGAGTGAAGACATGTGGTATTTCTCTTTCTGTGCCTGACTTCTTTCACATAACATAATTTTCTCTATGTTCATCCATTTTGCTGTGAATGGTGGAATTTCATTCTTTTTTATGGCAGAGTAGTATTCCGTTGAGTATATATACCACATTTTCCTTATACAGTCATCCATCAATGGACATGAAGTTGGTTCCATTCCTTGGCAATTATAAATAAAGCCGCAATAAAGATGAGAGTGCAGACATCCCTTCAGCATGATGATTTCCATTTCTTTGAGTATATATCCAGCAGTGGGATTTCTGGATCATGTGGCAGTTCTAGCTGTAGTTCTCTGAGGAACCTCAATACTGTTTTCCATAATCACTACATTAGTTTACAGTCCCGCCATCAGTGCAGGAGGGTTCCCCTTTCTCCACAACCTCCCCAGCACTTCTTATTCTGTCTTTTTGATAATGTCCAGTCTAACTGGGATGAGATGATATCTCAGTGTGGTTTTGATTTACATTAGTTTACAGTCCCGCCATCAGTGCAGGAGGGTTCCCCTTTCTCCACAACCTCCCCAACACTTCTTATTCTGTCTTTTTGATAATGTCCAGTCTAACTGGGATGAGATGATATCTCAGTGTGGTTTTGATCTGCATTTCCCAGGTGCTGAGTGATGTTGAGCATTTTTCTTGTGTCTGTAGGCCATTTGTATATCTTCCTTTGAGAAATGGCTATTCAGCCCCTTTGCTCATTTTTTTCCATCAGGTTACTTGCTCTTTTACTGTTAAGTTATTTGAGTTCCTTGTATATTCTGGATGTTAATCCCTTGTTGGTTGCATAGTTTGCAAATATTTTCTCTCCTCTGTAGGTTGTCTTTTTGTTCTGTTAATTGTTTCTTTTACTGTGCAGAAGCTTTTCAGTTTGATATAATCCCACTTGTTTATTTTTTCTTTTTCCTGTGCTTTTGAGGTCTTATTCATAAAATCTTTGCCCAGTCTTACTTCCTAGAGTGTTTTCCCTATGTTTTCTTTTAGGAATTTCATAGTTTTAGGTCTTATGTTTAAGTCTGTTATCCATTTTGAGTTGATTTTGCTATGTGGTGAGAGGTACAGAACTAGTTTCATTCTTCTGCATATGGATGTCCATTTTTCCCAGCACTATTTATTGAAGAGGCAGTCTTTTCCCCAATGTATGTTCTTGTTGCCTCTGTCAAAGATCAGTTGGCTATAGGTCTGTGACTTGAATTCTGGGTTCTCTATGCTGTTCCATTGAGCCAATGAGGTTTTTATGCCAGCACCATGCTGTTTTGGTTACTATAGCTTTGTAGTATAATTTGAAGTCAGGTAGTGTTATGCCTCTGGCTTTATTTATTTATTTTTACTCATGATTGCTTTGGCTAATCGGGGTCTTTTGTTGATCCATATAAAGGTTAGGATTGTTTTTTCCATTTATGTGAAGAATGTCATTGGTATTTTGATGAGGATTGCATTGAATCTGTAGATTGCTATGGGTAGTTATGGACATTTTCACAATGGTAATTCTTCTGATCCAAGAGCATGGAATGTCTTTCCATTATTTGTGTCCTCTTTAATTTCTTTCAGCAGTGATTTGTAGTTCTCAGTGTTGAGATCTTTCACTTCCTTTGATTAAATTGATTCCTAGGTATTTGGGGTTATTTTTGGTGACTACTGTAAATGGGCTTACTCTTTTGATTTCTTTTTCTGCTAGTTTATTATTGAAGTATACAAACCCTACTGATTTTTGTGTGTTGATTTTGTATCCAGCAACTAACACTACTCCTTTTGCATGTTGATTTTGTATCCTGCAACTTTAGTGAAATCATTTATCAGCTTTAAGAGTTTTTTGGCAGAGTGTTTAGGTTTTTCTGTATTATCATGTCATCAGCAACAGGGACAATTTGACTTTGTCTTTTCCAATCTGGGTGCCCTTTATTTCTTTCTCTTGCCTGATTTCTCTGCCTAGTACTTACAATACTATGTTAAATAGGAGTGGTGAGAGTGGGCATCCTTGTCTTCTTCCTATTCTAAAGGGAAAACCTTTCAGCTTTTCCCCATTCAGGATGATATTGGCAGTGGGTTTGTCATATACAGCTTTTATATGTTGAGGTACTTTACTTTTATACCTAATTTGCTGAGAGTCTTTATCATGAAGTGATGTTGAATTTTGTCAAATGCCTTTTATGCCTCTATTGAGATAATCATATGGCTTTTGTTCTTGATTTTGTTGATGCAATGTATCACATTTATTGACTTGCACATGTTGAACCATTTGCATACCTGGGATGAATCCCACTTGATCATTGCTTGTAATTTTTTTGATGTGTTGCTGTATTCTGATTGCTAATATTTTATTGAGAATTTTGGGATCTATGTTCATCAGAGATATTGATCTGTAGTTTTATATTTCTTTTGTGTCTTTGTCTGATTTAGATAGCAGAGTGATGCTGGCCTCATAAAATGAGTTGGGGAGAAGGGCCTCTGTTTCTATTTTTTAATAGTTTGAAGAGAATTGGTATTAAAGGTCTGGTAGAATTCAGCCGTAAAGCCATCTGTTCCTGGGCTTTTCTTTGTTGGGAGACTGCTGATTACTGCTTCAATCTTGTTGCTTGTTATTGTCTGTTCAGGTTTTCTGTCTTCTTGGTTCAGTCTGGGGTTTTCTATTTCTTCTTGGTTCAGTCTTGATTGTATGTGTCCAAAAATTTATCCATTTCCTCCATGTTTTCAAATTTGTTGACATGCAGTTGTTTATAATAGTCTCTAATGATTCTGTGTATTTGTGTAGAGCAGTTGTAATGTTTCTGTTTTCATTTCTATTTTTGTTATTTGGGTCTTCTCTCTTCTTGTTTTAGTTAGCCTTGCTAATGGTTTGTCTATTTTGTTTATCTTCTCAAAAAAACAAGTTTTTTGTTTCATTGATCTTTTGTATCATTTTTGGTACTCTATTTCATTTAGTTCTGCTCTGATCTTTATTATTTCTTTCTATTTACTAGTTTTAGGATTAGATTGTTCTTATTTTTCTAGCTCTTTGAGATAGAGTGTTAGGTTGTTCATTTGAGATCTTTCTATTCTTTTGATGTAAGCACTTATTGCAATAAACTTCCCTCTTAGTGCTGCTTTTTCTGTATCCCACAGGTTTTGGTATGATGTATCTCTACTTTTGTTAGTTTCAAGAAATTTTTTGATTTCCTGTCTCATTTCCTCTTGGACCCATAAGTCATTCAGGAGCATGTTTAATTTCTATGTATTTGCATAGTTTCCAGACTTTCACTTGTTATTGATTTCTAGTCTCAATCCATTGTGGTCTGAAAAGATACTTGAAATGATTTAAATTTTTAAAAATTTGTCGAGACTTGATTTGTGACCTAAAATATGTTCTATCCTTGAGAATGTTCCATGTGCTAGTGAGAAGAATTTATATTCTGTAGTTCTTGGATGAAATGTTCTGAAGGTATCTGACAGGTCCAGTTGGTCTAAAGAGGTTTAAATCCTGTGTTTCTCTGTTGATTTGTTGCCGAAATGATGTGTCCAGTGCTGACAGAGTGTTCAGGTCCCCTACTATTTCATATTGGGACCTATCTCTTTAGACCTAATAGTGTTTGCTTTATATATCTGGGTGCTGCAGTGTTGGGTGCATATATATCTGTGATTGTTATGTCTTCTTGCTAGATAGATTCCTTTATCATTGTATAGTGGACTTCTTTGTCTCTTTTTATGGTTTTTGGTTTAAAGTCTATTTTATCCAATATAAGAATAGCTACTCCTGCTTATTTGTGGTTTCCATTTGTATGGAATATCTTTTTCCATCTCTCCACTATTAGTCTGTGTGTGTCTTTGCAGGTAAAGTGAGTCTCTTGAAGACAGCATATACTTGGGTCTAGCTTTTTAATCCAGTTAGTCGGTCTTTGTCTTTGAGTGAAGAGTTTACTCCATTTACATTTAGATTGTTATTGAAAGGTTTTACTCCTGGCATTTTATCAATTTTTGTTTGGATGTTTTATATATCTTTTGTTCCTTTCTTCACCTTTTATTGATTTTCTTGGATGTTTGTTGATTTTTTTGAGGTGGCAAGATTTAGTTCTTTTCTCTTTGCCATTTGTATTTTTTGTAGTACCAGTGGATTTTGTTCTTTCTTGTGTATTCACGGTAGTGATTATTGTTTTCACATTTCATATGTAGGACTCTCTTGAGGAACTCTTGCAGGACTGGTCATGTGGTGGTGGATTCCTGCAGTTTTTATTTGTCTGGAAAATGCACTATTTCTCCCTCATTTCTCAAAGATAACCTTGCTGGGTATAGTATTCTTAGCTTACAATTTTTTTCTTTAAGTATGTTGAATATATCATCCTTTTTTCTTCTGGCTTGTAGAGTTTCTGTTGGGAAGTCTGCTGTTAGTTTGATAGGGATTCCCTTATAGATGACATGATGCTTTTCTCTTGCTGCTTTTAGGATTCTCTCTTTATCTTTGAGCTTTACCAGTTTGACTGTAATGTCTGTTGGAGAGGATCTTTTCTGGATTGAATCTGTTTAGGGATCTTTGAGCCTTCTGAAGGTCTGTGTCTCTCCCTGTGTCTGGGAAGTTTTCCACTATTATTTTGTTGAATAGATTTTCAATGCCTTTTCCCTACTCCTCCCCTTCTAGAAGACCCATGATTCAAATGTTTGTGCACTTAAGGTTGTCTGTTAGCTCTCTCAGATTTTTTTTAAAATTCTTTTTTGTTTGTTTGTTTTGTCTACCTGGGTTATTTCAAAACGACTATCTTTAAGATCAAACATTTTTTCTTCTGCTTGTTCTAGCCTGCTGCTTAAGCTCTTGATCACAGTTTTTTGTTTGTTTGTTTGATTGTTTGTTTTTTATGTTGTTGAATGAATCTTTCAGTTGCAGGAGTTCTGCTACATTCTTTTTTTATGTCCTAATCTCTTTGTAAATTTCCTCCTTCATATCTTCGATTTTTTTTTTTTTGTCATTATATTATGTTGTCGACTGAGTATTCTTGTATGTCTCTGAGTTTCTTTAAGATTGTTGGTTGGAATTTCTTTTCAGTCATTCCTGCTCTATAGGGTCTGGTATTTGAGAATTACTGTGTTCTTTTGGTGGTGCCATATTTTCTTGGATTTTTGTATTTCAGGTATCTCTATGATGATGTCTGATCATCTAATAGAGCAGTTTCTTCTTGTGTTACTCTGGAGTGGACTTTGAGGAGAGAGACTTCCTCCTGTATATATGTTTTATATTGACTGTTGACTAGGGTATTTTAGTATTGGTACTGTGTAGATGCACTAGTGTAGTCTCTGTTTGGGTACTTTGGCCATGTTTCCTTTGTAGTTGCATGTGCCTCCATGGCCTAGGCAATGGAGCACCTAGTGATTCCTTTCTGAAGTTAGTGACACTGTACTGAGTCACCAAGGACATAGTCGAGCTCTCGAGGTCTTGGGATTCAGATAAGGATCCTCCATGGCTACCTACATGAGTAGGTAAAAAGTTGTTGAGGAACACATTATTCTCATTGAGAATAATATATTTTGCAGTGGCGATATGTGATGGTCAGCACCTTAACCAGGTAATGAAGTTTGCATCACTAATAGTGGGACATCATATGCCTCCTGATACGATGCAATGTGAAGAAAACAACATCGTCTATAATGCCTTATTGCTGAAGATGGTTCATCTAAATCTAATTAAACCACTAGACCTTATAGTATACAAAAAATAAAAGGGGTAGAGGAGCAAGTTAAACAATACCATGAGGAAACAATTACATAAATCCACAATGTGGAACAGTTTTACAAGTCAACTAATCTGGACACTTCAAAAAGTTAATGTCAGAGAAAACTGAAAGTGTGGAGGAATAATCACTTTTAAAAAATAATAGCAATAAATACAATCCTTAACACTTTTAAATTTTGATATTATAGCAACTAAACACATATTGACTCATTTAAACCCTTCATGAGAGCTGATTTTTTGGGCAATAGGCATCAAATTGTGTTAGACATCTGTAAGTTGTATGTTTAATGTTGTATTTCAAGTATTGAACTAGCAAAACACATGACTCATCTGGATTCCATAAACTGGGTGTTTTGCTTTCTAAACTTGATGTGTTCACAGTTAAGCTAACTTTTATAGTAGCACAGTCTGTATTTTAATAAGGTACAGATAAAGAAGCATGTGTCTAGTTAAAATGAAAAGTCATAATTCTGATGTTAAAATTTAAGAATGTAAAAAATACCTTTTTTTTGCATTTCTTTCTTTTATTGAAACATATTGATTGTACATATTTGTGGGGTGGGAAGGTGTAGTGGATTGAATTATGTCCCCATAAAACTCACTGAAGCTTAAATTGTGTCCCCCAAGTTTTAAGTATTAGAAACTTGGCCCCCACTGTGACTGTTAAGAGGCTGGGAGTTCCTATTATGGTAATTGAAAGGTGGAATTTGAAGAGGTAATTAGATTGTAGGATCATGACATAGTGAATGGATTAAAAATGTTGGTCAGGGGCATGGTTCTGAGGGCTTTAAAAGAAGAGGAGAGTCTGTCTTTCTCTCTCTC